AAAAAGAAAACCTTGGGTTTTCCCTGCCTGTCGTAAGAAAGAAGCAGCCACCACTGTCCTGTTCATGGGCAAGAGGTTACAGAAGCAACAGCTTCCATGCCTACCTGGTCCTTCCCTCAACAGTTTTTTTTTCCATTCTGCATCCCCTCTGAAAGGGAGGCTTCAGTAGCAGCTTTCACTCAGTACTTGTTTCATGAGAAAACGATGTTCGGTTAATGAAAACCTCTCTACCCAGTTTATAATTTCTCTGCATCGTGGCCTCTGAACAAAACTTCAGTTTTTTTTGCCAGGCAGTAGTGGCGCACACCTTTAATCCCAGCACTCGGGAGGCAGATGCAGGCAGATCTCTGTGAGTTCGAGGCCAGCCTGGTCTACAAAGCTACACAGAGAAACTCTCTCTCCAAAAACCAAAACAAAACGAACAAACAAACAAAAAAAATCAGTTTTTCCTGAGACCTTTGAACATTTAATTGGCATTTATTTCAAAAGTTTGGACAAAGATGGAGTCTGCTGCGTCACTCCCATGAGCAAGCTGGTGGCCCTTTTGTCAATACCAGTCTTCTGTTGTAGGCCACGGAGCAGCTGGTGAGTGACATCCTGAGGCAGGCGCTGGCAGTGGGATACCAGACAGCATCTCCCAACAGGTACCGACGCCCAGCCGACAGACAGGCTTTGCGGTGTGGCTCCTCTAGAAGGTGCTTTGGTCTACACGTGATTAGTGTGGTAGGAGATAGAGTTGCTGTACTTGGGACGTTAGAGCCAGATTGAGGGCCTCTGTAGTTCTGAGAGCACCTCTTGCTGTGAAAGCCTAGCTGTGCCCTTCCAGCCATTGTTTCATAGACACCCGGCTCTCTTGTGTCACAGGGTAGAGCAGGCAGCAGGTTCTCACATTGAAGACAGTAACGTCTCACTCACCTTGCAGACTCTAAGGTCAAGTTTGATAAGTATTTCCTAAGGCATTTATCATTCCAGACACAGTTCCTTAGAACCTGGGAAACGGAGCTCTGAACCTCTGAACGGGAGTCATCTCCAGTGTCCCAGATCACAGATTCAGACTCAGCTCACTTGCTGGGAACCCTTGCGCTCACTCCTGTTTCTGTCCTGACACAGTCGTCTCTGTGTGGGATGCAGAGTTCTCTGGCCTTAGAGGAATGGTAGCCCACACCCTCTTTTCCTTCCTGTAGCGCTGAGGACTGTCATAAAACCCTGACACTGTAAGGCAGTACCTGAGGTGATAGGGCCCAAATGAGGGTGTTATGTCAGACATGCATAGAAGTCTTGAGTGAGAAAAAGAAGCAGAGATAAAAATTGCCAGGCCCGCTCCCTATTATCCTGTTTGGAAAGCAGGAGGAACCATGCTTTCTGTGTTCCTGACTGGAGACACGGTGGCCTGGGTGGTTTGAGAGTGTGTAAGCTCACGCTTTGCTGGACAGGGCTGCCTCGCACTTTCTGGGATAACAGGTGGCCCATATTTTCATGGGCTTTGATGCAAACGTGAGTCTGCTAAGACTTAGAAGGAGACTTAGCAACATTCTCTTCTGCTGTCTGCTTTGCTTCCTCTCTCTGCATGAAGTCCTTCTGGTTCCTGTGACGAGGAGGTGAGATTTGAGCCCTGGGTGGGACTGGGAGAAAGAATGACCCCGAGTCATTGCATAGATTTTGCCGTCACCTCCTTTAATCAGAGAGTGGTCCCTTTGGTAAATTAACTGACTAAATTATTACTGAATGCATTTGACACATTAAACCTAATTATACTTTTGTTTTGTTTTGGACTAGGGTTCCCAAAGAAATCACAGTGAGTAATATCCACCAGGCAATTTGCAACATTCCTTTTCTGGATTTTCTCACAAACAAACACATGGGGAGACTGAATGAGGATCAGTGAATACAGTGAAGATGATTCCGGAAAAGCAGGATGGGAAGCTGTTTCTGAAGTATGCAAACCCTTGTGTTTGGGGAAAGGTGGTTTCTGTGTGTTAAATGCCATAGCTACCATACCATTCCTTCCACCTAACTGCGGGTCACATGGCATCGAGTCCCAGGTGCAGCCCTTTTAAGACTGAGTTGTTTCCCAGTTCTGGAGGGAAGCTGAATGGACACGCAACTGTGTCAGCTTGCATTTCTTCACTCCGTACAGGCTCTGGAGGGCTCTTAGCATGAGACAAGGCATATATGCACAAGGTGCTCCCTCTTTGGAGTGTGCTTGGGTTCACCTGGGCCCGCTTTCCAGAAGGCGGAGATCAACCTGACACGCTGCTCTGGGGTACTCTAGAGAAGAACAGAGCAAGCAAGCATCTTGCCTCAGTGTGGAAGGGCTGAACTCTTGGCCAGTGTGAGTCAGCTGCAGAGGGGTAACATGCCATGTGGAAAACTAGAGACCAAGGAGGCTACAGACTGAGACTTTCATGGAACCCGATGCCAGTGCTTCTGTGACAGTGTTGAGGATCCCAGCAGAGGTCACAAGGCATGAAGCCTGTGCCCATGTAACACAGGAATCTGTCACTGTTAGTGTAAGCATCATCCACAGAGTCAGGCGCTTGGTCAGTGGTGATCTGAGCACTGGGGCCTCATATCCATGTGGGCTGTAGAAGCTCCTGCTGCTGTCTCATGTCCAGGGTCCAGGGAGGCAGCCCCAGGGCAAACTTTGCTGGGATTGTCCTCTCGGTAAACCTAGGGTCCTGTCCTCCGCCAAAGAGTTTTACCGAGATGAAAAGGGTTGAAACACCTGTGAGTGCCTTACTGTGGGAGAGAGCTGCTCTAACCCAGGGTGCCAGTGCTTGGGAACAGAGCCGCTCCATGAGGGGCAGATAGGAGCTTGATAGCAGCAGCAGTGTGTGTAGACACTGGGGTCTCTCCAGGCTTCTAACTATTGTGGGGGCAAAGGAAAGGCCTTAGTTTCAGTTGCAAACCTTCTCTTACTCTGCTCAAGGCAAACTTGAAAGGTCTGAGACAAAGTCAAACTTGCTTAAGCAGCAGCAAGCCTGTTCTCCCAGGTCCTGTAGATGGGTGTGTGTCAGGAAGTAGAGCAGGAAGGTAGCTGGATCATACATCCTGAGAACTGCAGGCACAGAAGGGATCTTTCCAGCAGGAATAAGGCGAGCATGGTATAGCTGGTATAACACTTAATAATTCGGACTCTAGACCACACAGTGGATTGATAGACGCACACACAGTGTTGTTCAGAAGTGGACGGAGACCTACATGGTATAATATCCACACGAGAGCAGATTCATTTATTGTGATGAAAACCTAAAGAAATTGCTTTTGGCTGAAGAAATATCAAATGATTTAATAGTCTCCATGTATGTTAATGTTTCAAATGTTTTTCTATCATAATGTGTAACATAATTGTGTATCATTTTGTCTACAATAAAAATTTTAGTATTTGTGGTGGGTTTTCTGAGCTGGAATTGTGTAATGTAAATGGGTCATATTTACATTCAGGTCACATACAAAACAGAAGACACTTCACTTGGTGACCATGGACACAATTATTTCATACAAGCAATTTGGGGTTAAGAAAATGCATAAATGGGTTCAATTTCTCAAAAACATCAGAAGATTAGTCTCATAAACTATTTTATCTGGTGAGATAAAGTTGGTCTGTGCTGAGGTCTGGAAGCTACTCCTGTGACACAGTCCTTGGATTGTCATCTGCGATTGTGGCTTTTTTAAGTTCCCCAAAGGTGCAGACACTCCAGAACTGAAATCTGTGGCTTTTGGAGGGAGTTTCTGTGAGGAGGCACAGAAGTAGCTTGCTGGGAAGCAACTTCACAGAGGCTCAGTGAGAAAGCTGAACCCTGGAGAGTAAAATTAGCTGGAGCATAGTCCAGGGTGGGTGCCAACAGCCCCTCCCTGGGCCACAGGTGGGTGGGGCATACTTCCCCCCCAGAAGCTTCAAGTCCTGGGATTCTGTCCTTCCTTCACCGTGTGAGAGGGCCTTCAGGGCTTTCTGATAGTCAGCCTCGTAATGTACACATAGTTGATTGAGGCAATTCCCACACTGGTCACTGTGGATATGGGGTAAATTAATATTGAACACTCTGCTCATATTAACAGATTAAACTGCTCTTTATTTTTGAAAACTTACAGAATATAAAAATTATTAAATTTTATAGGAATTTTAGCAGGTTTGATAAAGTATTTTTAATTTTAAACATTAGAGCTGGAGAGATGGCTCAGTTGGTGAAGTGTGTGCAGTACCTGAGTTCAGTCACCAGAACCCACATAAAAAACCCAAGCACTGGAGAGGCAGATCCCCTGAGGCCTGCTATAGAGTCAGCCTCTCCTACTTGATGACCTCCAGACCAATGAGAAAAGAGAAAGATGCCCGAAAAACACTTTGGTTGTTCTCTGCCCTCTACACGTGTACCTGTACATACAGGAATACACACATGTGTACCTGCACACACAAGAACACACAAACATACCCACACATAAAGGAACACACATGTACCTGCACATATAGGAACATAGGCATATATACCTGCACACAGGAACACACAAACATACCCACATAAAGGAGTACACAGATGTACCTTCACATACAGGAACACATACATACTCCTCAGAGATAAGCCCTGCTAATCCTCTACTGCATTTCTCTGGTCTTCATGCATATTGTGTGTGTGAGGTGAACCCAGACGAGCAAGAGAGCATGGCTGACACTGGTCTTGGTTGCTTCTTGGGTTGCTCACGGAGCTTTGTGGCCCGATGAGGGCTGGTGGGAAGAGCTATGTGGCACATTGCTGAGGTTCTGACCAACCTGTAACCTAGCAGAGGTCAGCGTCACTCCACGGCTTCTGCAGTGCCAGAAAGGGACTGGTGTGCTTTATGCTGGCCAAATTCGACAGGCTCGTGTATCTCTACACCAAGAGAATAAATGCATGCAGTGGGGGGTTGCCGGGCCTATGGCATGGACACTGGCAGAGTTCAGCCAGAGGCTACAGCAGGGCCAAGGGCAGCAGGAAGAGGTAAGCAGGAAAGGACAATTCAGGAGCCATGCTTGGTTGACTTTACTGTGCTAAGCATTGCATGTTCCTAGCAAGGTGGAGGAGACAGCAGCCCCACTTTCAGATGCAGAAATGGAAGTTCCCACTGTGGAAGCAGCATCGGCACGGGGGGAGTCCCTTTTCCCACTTAAGGGTACAGGAGAACTGAATTGGGAATAAGGTACCCCCTGCAACACTAGAGTCAGCTGTGGTCCTCAGCAGAAAGAGCTTGGAGTTTGTAAGGGTCCAGGATATTAGCATAGTAATTAAAGTCGTTATTGAGAGACCAGGATGAATGGGAAAGAGTATATTAAGTTTATAACTTAAGTTACCCAGCACAATTTTGCATTTTAGTAAATTGTTAAATCTACTCACTGCCTACATGTAGGTGCCTGGCAGGCAGTCTTGCCTCTCAGGAACACTGAGCATGCAAACTGACAAATACAGAGTAACAGGAACCTTGGTATATGCATACGGTTTTGATTTTTCCTTCAAAAAGATTCAACAGCATTTCCTGGGCTGACAAGAGGGAGGCTGGGCCTGCTAGCCCCTCTGAGGGGATGCTGTGGAGGAGGCCCGAGCTGCCTCCCCAGCCTTGGCTTTGAAGGAAACCCTTACAGTTCTTAGCAAACACTGCCAGGCCTCCTAGACATTTCCTTTCTAATGTTTGAGAGGTGGGTGTTTAAAGGGGAGTGGGGTAGTGAGTACCTAACCAGAGTTGGAGAGCCAGCAGGCAAGAGGGTGAAGGTCCCTGTAGGGGATGATCTCCTGGCATGCTCCCAGCTCCTCACGGGTGTGCATGACAGTCCCTTCTAGTCCTTGTGTTATGGGGAGACAACTGAAATTGGTAGCACAGGGCTCAGCCTCTAGAAACATGGGGCGAATGCCGCTCATGCTTTCAACATCTCACTCATCCTGGAAGTTGTTTCCCTGAAACAGTCATCTTAGCTATAAAGTAATTACATTTGAAACCAAAAACATGTGGATGATCTCCTTGGATATATATTTCACCAGTGTGTGTGTGTGTGTGTGTGTGTGAGAGAGAGAGAGAGAGAGAGAGAGAGAGAGAGAGAGAGAGAGAGAGAGAGAGAGAGAGAGAGAGAGACAGAGAGAGAGAGACAGAGAGAGAGAGAGAGACCGAGACCAGGCTGGCCTCAAGATCCACAGAGATCTGCCTGCCTCTGCCTCCTGGGATTAAAGGTGTGTGCCACCACTGCTTGGCTATAATTTCTTAATGTAAGCATGTGGAGCTCTGTGGAAAGATGAGAAAACTATCTGGGACTACCATAGGTTATCAAATAAAATTAACATGCATCTTGGGTAAACCACCTAAAGTAGGTAACTGGTCTACCAAGGACTTGATTGATGCCTATTTCTCAGTCTGGAGCAGTTCAGCTCACAGCTGAATTGATCCTCATTTAAAAATTGAAAAGTGCCAAATGGCAATTTCAAAGATCAAGTCTCCTTTCCCCCTCTGCTTGAGGAGGTGGGTGGAAGAGGCTGAGTGCAGCTGGTGGTGGTCTGCCCATCTGCCTCCACGCCACACCACAGCGAGAGCCAGCAGCCATACCACTCCAGTCAGCAAAGGCCAAGCCAGGCCCTCTTCTGGTAGGTCTGGAGGTGCTCCTCAGCTCCCCCAGCAGCCATGATTCCCACTGGTCACACATTGAGAGTCCGGGGAGCTGATGTCTGAAAGATGGCTGAGGGATTCGGTGTGAATTTCCTCACTTCTGGAACCTGAAGAAGAAGTGTGGCCACATTAGTGAGCTCTTTCCTCCACTCATCCCAATCCTTGGCTCTGGGAAAAGAATTCCTTGCCCCTTGCAGCAGCTGGCAGTGGAAGTTAGCAGAGTGAGCTTCATCACCGCTATGGGGTGACATAGGGAACATGAGATCCCTTTGCCTTTAATTGGGTAAAGATGCTAACTAGCCCTGCAGTCCTTCGAAAGAACCCAAGCTTCACATGTAGCATGCCTGAGTCACGTAGGTTTTAGTGTTTTTGCAAGGAGCAGGGCTGTGTTGAGGCTGAACTCAGGGCTTTGTGTATGCTAGACATCAGTCTACCACTGAGCTACACTCCCACCCTTGAGTGTCACCAGCCCTATGAGTAGTCAGGGGACATGACAGGAGGCGGACAGATGCTCTCACTAGAGTGGGCAGTGCTGTTACATACAGTTGGTTGAGCACTGCTGTCCTTAACCATCATGCTATTTCCTGACCCCTGCCCTGGAGAACAACAGGTGTCCATCTTTTCAGTCCCAGAAAGCACGAGCCTCAGACTGACCTGGAAGCTGGCCGCAGGGCTGGGGTCCCATCCAGAGCTGTGAGTTGTGATGACTCTGGCTGATCTTGCCTTTGTAGATCTTGAGGGCTTCACTCCAGTCCAATCTTGGAATTCCTGCCTGCAACAGAATGGAATCACAACCTTGCACAGGGTCAATCATTTCCTGGACCCCAGCTTCTTAAAAGACTAAGCCCTGTTCACTGCTGGTCCTGCTTCAGTTCCTAATGACCTTTTGTCTTCCTGTACAAACAGGACCAGAAGCACCAGGTGCTCCAGGCAGATGGGCCAGCTCAGGAAGGTAGCTCTGAGCTAGCCTGCCCTAACATTCTGAATGTTCCACCAAGAAACCTCAGTCACATAGGCGGGAACAGCAGTGGCACAAAATTCTCATGCAGGTGAACATCAGGCAACATTTGGCGCGCGCGCGCACACACACACACACACACACACACACACACACACACACACACACACACACACACAATCCCAGTGCTCAAAGCCCTTATAGACTGGAGGCTGTCGTTTTGGATGCCAGATCACTTAGGAGGGAGCCAAGAGCCAGTGAAGGCTGTCACCTCCTTCATGCCTGCTTAGGGGCAGAAGAATGCCATCTTAATGCCCAGCACAGCAAAGGTACATCTGCTTGCAAATTGGAAAAGAGTGCTCAACCATACCTAATGGCCTGAGCTCATTTCTCAGGACCCATGTGGTGGAGTGAAGACCCAACTCACACATCTTCTGGCCGCCATGTGTGTGCTGTGATACGGGCACATGCGTGTACATACAGGTGCACAACAAAAAAGGTAAATCATGGGAGTCGGATGGATGACATAGCAGTCATGGTATAGTCTTCTGGCAAAGGATGATAGTTCCATGCCCAGCACCCACATCAGAAGTCTCATGGCCAGGCACTCAAACTCCAGGGGTCCTGTCATCACCCTTCTTCTGGCCAGGCAGGCAACTGCACTCACATGCACAGACACAAATGCACATGATTTTTAAGAATAAAACAAAATCTCATAAAAATATGTTTTTTAAAAGAATCAATTACAGTAATAATCTCAAACCTCCAAGCTGATCTGCAGGCTGAGCTTCCATGCATGAGCCATTTTCCTGGAGGGAAAGGACAGGCTAAGCTAGCCCCATACCTCTCACTGAAAAGGTTCAACTCCTCTATTCCTTGTCAGTGGACTAGGCAAGGAATAATAGGCAATGGAATATTCTGTATCTTGTCGATGTCTCTACTAAATAGTAAACTCGGAAAGGCAGTTCCTCCTTTGACTGTAAGCACAGGGCTTACTCAGAGTGCCAGGGCCAGTGCCTGTCTCTGCTAGGCCCTCTCCCTATGCTGGCCAAGCTCATGCCCTGAAGTCAACAAAGGAGTCTTTTCTTGGCAGCATCAGAGCCTTGCCTCGCTGGGCAGGCAGATGGCATGGGCAATGGGACATGGCGTCTGTTGTGGCCAGTATTCAGCGTCTTGGGTGTAAGGAAGAGCTGGGCCAGGGCCTGTCAGATAATTTCTGCTTCTGAAGCATCAAGGTTCCAAAGACCAGCTGTCTAAATCATATGCTGTTCTCTTTCTCCTGGGAAGGCAGGGCCTCTTCCCTCCCTCCCCCGCCCCCCAGCATGTCCTTCTGTCACCAGGCAGCCTAAGTCAGCTGCACTGAAGTGGCACAGGGGACTCAAAGCAGGGAGAACGTACAGCAGTCCCTGGGGTGGCTGCAGGGGGCAGTCCAGCAGGCAGGGCTTGTGATAGGATCGAGAAAGGACAGAGTGAACTCATTAGAACCCAGCTACTCATGGAGGAGAAAGGTGCACCATGGCTTACACCACGATAAGGAAAAATACAAACTGCCCTATGTTTCTGAAAAAGCATCAGCCACATTTGTTCATTTCTCTTTTTGAAACAAGGCCTCATTGTGTAGCTTTGGTTGGCCTGCAACTTGTTATGCAGACCAGAGCTGACCTTGAACTCACAGAGATTCACCTGTCTCTGCCTCCCAAGTCCTGGGATTAACTAGTATGCCATCACACCGATGGACATGACAGGCCTAGAAGGAACTGTGGAAGCAAGGCAAGGCTCTGGGCAAAGCTAGCCAGGTTGAGAGCTCCAAGCTAACTGTATAGGACTCCTATGCCCGTCTGGTCAGACAAACAAGGCAGGTCAGTCATTCCAAGGTGACCAGAAGCCAAGGGACACAGGGCCTGTTAGCAGGGAGAGATGGAAGTCTGGAGGGTCCATGGCACTTATGGTCAGGAGTGACCACAGACTTGCTCTGGTATCTATAGGGTCCCTGGATCTGTTTTCTGAATGCCTATAGAACCTTACTTGGATGAAGTATGTCTTACAAGATGGAAGGCAGGATGGGATTACTACAGCCTGATCTCCCAGAGGATCATCTCAGGCATTCCGGAGACTAGATGGTTTGGTTCTGGGGAAAGTCAGTAATGCTCCTGGGCTTTGGAGGGAGTGAGGGCTGGCAGCCAGGCTCTTGCTATTCCAGGGAAGGAAGAGGCTCCACAGGCAGGGTTTACACTTGGAAAAGCGAGCCCCCATATGCCAGTGCTTTTCCACTGCTGGCTGTGAGAAACTGGCTGGAATAGGGGGCCAAAGACCAGCTGCCTAACCCGTGCTAAAGAACGAGAGCCTGGGGGCTACAAAGTCGGTGCTGTGTCCCACTCCTTCCTGTGCTGTTTAGAGCCACGTGGTCACACCAGCTCAGTTCCTCATTTATAGCGGGACAGCAGTAGCAGAGGTCCCAGGGAGTGGAGCCATGTATGCTCGGGGGAGAGCAATAGCAACAGAGCTTAGAGGGCCCTGCAGGACATTTGGACCTACCATGTATTGTGGGATAGACAACTTCCCATAAACAACCTTTCCTGGAATATTCCTCACGAAGAGGGGCTTGCACCAACATCCCCAAGCTGCTCAGCAGCTATGAAGGGCAGCTTCCTTCCTTTCTCTGCCAGCCCCAGTGATTGTTTGACCCCTGGAAGGACCCCCGTAGAACCAACCGCTGGAAGGACCAGGGACCACTGAGACCTCTCCTGCTGTGGATTCAACACCAGCAGTCAGTTCTGCCCAAGACTCCAGCTGGGACCTGAGAACAGAAGGCCCTGTCTGCCCTGCCACTAGTGCCATTCATCTTGTAAGAGTTCAGCTTGAGTCAGAGAGCGCAAAGCCTGCTGTCTACCACACATGCCATTAAGTACCTTTAGGGGGGAAGCTGCCCTTCGGTTTACTTATTTGCTGTGTTATGTATACATTTCAATCTGTGCTCGCTGAGCTTCACAGTATCCTGTCCAGTGACAGCCCATAACTAGTGCCTCCCCAATATTGGGACAGTGGGGCCGTGACCATCTGCATGTACCACATGTGACATTTGTAGTCTGCATTTAGTTATGTGTGTGCATCTGTGCGTGGGCATGTGAGTGAGTGCAGATGCCCCAATGCCAGAGGTGTCAGATGTCATTGAAGCTGGAGTTCCAAGCCATTGTAAGACACCTGGCCTGAGCCCCGTCCTCTGTAAGAGCAGGGTGCTCTCCGAATCAGTGAGGCGCCTCTCCGGCTGCCATGTTTCAGCCACCATATACCTTTTAGTCCCAAGTTTCCATCGCACCTCCAAGGTATCTAAACGATGAAATTCCTAAAGGTATTTAACCATCTGTAACTAAGGCAGTAGTAGTGTTTTAGATAGTCCTAAACTAGGGATCCCAAATGAGACAAAAAATAATTGGGGTATATAGCTGTATGCCTAAGAAAAGGCTAACATACAGACAGTTATTAACATTCAGACTATTTATGGTCAAACATCACATCAGGTTTAAAAAAAAAGTAACACACACACACACTAATATATATTAAAGATTTTTAAACAAGATGACAGCAAGAATGGTACCATGGAAGAAACAGAGTGTGTATGGAGTCATTGTACATTAAGAATTAGAAAAGATCCATCTGTCTGGGAGGGGTGGCGTGAGGGTTTTAAGGCGGTATCTGTTATTTTTGTCATTTCTAATTTTCCCACTATGAGTGGAAAGAGGATGCAGGAAGTCCTTAGTTGTCCAAAGCTGAGCTGCTAAGGGAGCAAAAGACCTTTGTGCAGTGGGATCTTGATCAGAGCAGGCACTGGCCCTGGGCCCTGGAGGGTTGGCTTATGCACAGCCCTCTGAGCTCACCCCACCCAAGTTAAAGGGCAGCAGTCTGAGAGGGAAGGAGGAGGAATCGGGAGGGGGGACTCCCTTTTGGATCCCAGGGTAGGTTGCTGCAGAGAAGGCAGGGAAGGCCATGCCTGTAGTGTCAGAAGACCAAAGGGATGATCTAAAGGCTCCCCTGTCACTCTTCAGATCCTGTGGCATCTAGGCTCCATGTCGTCCCCCCCCCCCCGGCTTTGGGACTCAGTTTCCTGCCACCACCGGTGGAAAGATTCGAAGTGGTCTCCTGCCATAGCCAGATACCCACCTGTAAGACGTGGTCGCTACCGCAGCTGCGTCCAAGTCCCCCACAGGGAGCACGTAGACCGCTCTGGCGGAGGGCGCCAAAGACTGGCCCCTGCGGCCGCCCGGCCCGGGCACGCGCTCCTGCGCCGCATCCCGGGTCCCCGCGCGCGCGGTCCGCACGCCGAAGTCACGCTGGTACTGGGTGAGCGGCACGGTGCGGCTGGGCTCCCGCGCGCCTGCCACAGACGGGCTCCCACGGGAGGCGGTGCAGTCCGCGCCCGGCCCCTCGCTCCCGGGGTCCGAGTAGCCGTGCAGAGTCAGTGGCACCGCCACATCCGAGCGGTCCAGCTGGTTCCAGCGCCGGGCCAGGCAGCACAGCCGGCTGATGCAGGGCCACGCCATGCCTCTCGGCCACGCGCCCGCGCCGCGCGCGCCCGCCCGCCCGCCCGCTGCCTCCGCGCAACCGGGCGCCCAGCAAGGACGGCCTATGGGCAGCCTTAAACCGCCTGTGGCCTTGGGTGGTTGAACCTCCAAATACCCCGAATGTGACCTCATAAATCAGACCTGGGGTTCGCAGAGGGCGAGGCCTGAGGGAGGCAGGTCCTCGCCATCACTCTGCCTGAAGCTGGGTGAGGGTGGCTTGAACAGAGGTCTCTGCTGGCACTGTGGACACGGAATAGAGCTAAGCTGTGCCTGGGGACTCCGCGGTCACCCAGGGTGGAAGTGGGGGGCAACAAGGAGGGTGATGCAGGGAACATTGGGGGCCATGTTTCTTGAAAAACATGTTTGAGTCAACCCATGACTTTGCCTTGTACCGTGCTGGTTTTAGTGTGTGACAACCAATCCCGTTTTCGTTAAAACCTGCCATTAGCTTCCAGTCGGCCTCTCCCTAGGCTCGAAAACCCCTAAATTCCTTCCTCTGCTATGCATGTGTGCTGTATTCGGGGTTGAAGATCAGTTTAACACAGAGACAACACCAGCTGCCCTGGAAAGGCTTTCTGAGTGTATCCAGTCTGTACTCAACCATAAAAACACTGTTAGTTACACGAAATTCTGGCTGAACTTGGAAGGTGTCCACCTCAGAGGACTGCCCCTCAGAAGTTGTACGGAAGTGACATACCATTGCCAGTTTAACAGCCCAAGCCTGCCTATGGCCCCATATTGACAAAGTTAAACCTGGGGCTTGGAAAGTCGTTTGTCAAAGGTGCATTCATGGGGATCCCAAAGGTATCTCTGCTTATCCAGAGCAGACTGACTTTGTGAACTGGGAGCTGGGCTCTGGGTTAGTCAACCTGGAAGCAGAAAGCTAGTAGCTATAAAATAAAGCACAGGAGAAAACTACAGCACACTACAGCCCGCCGTTCCTAAGGAGCCAGTTGAGGGCACAGGGAGTCCTTTGATTAGCAGACTGATGGAGAGTCGGAAAGGCTCTTGGTTTGGAAGCAGGGCAGGGTAGTGTTCTCGTTTTTGTTTGTTCGTTTTTAGACAGGGTTTCTCTGTGTAACACTTCTGGCTGTCCTGGAACTCACTCTGTAGACCAGGCTGGCATGGAACTCATAGAGATCTGCCTGCCTCTGCTTCTCAAGTGCTGGGATTAATTAAAGTCATGTTATCACCACCACTGCACAGCAAGAGTAGTGTTTTTAAGTCGAAAGGAAGCAATCACATCATGTCAGGGGCAGGCTGAGCTTGGAGTGGATTTTTTTCCGGGGGGTTGTTTGTATGTTTGGCTTTTTACAGTAAACTTCTTCACAGCATAGAAGGAACCACCCTTTAATTTATGAGGTCATTTTTCCTGGGGAGGCTTTTGTATACATCCAAAATACTTTCCCAGCAGGGAAGAGGAATTCCTTCCTTCCTTTCTTCCTTCCTTCCTTCCTTCTCTTCAGAAGACAAAATATTGTTTCACAAGCTGGGTGACATCCAGAGGGGAGAGGTGTAGTGTCTGGGCAGCCAAGCTTCTAGGTCATTTAAGTGAAAATACTCTTTCATGGCCAGTGAGATGACTCGAGGCTAAAGGCACTTCCCACCAAGCCTAGTGCCCTGAGTTCATTCCCGAGGACTCACGTGACAGAAGTACACACTCCCCGACTGTCCTGTGACCTCTGGGTGAATTATGGTGCATATACCTACACACAAAGGCAAGATAAACAACAAATGCAGGAAAACCTCTTAAAGATGTGTTTATTGTATGTGTGTGAGTACATGTATGTGTGTACACCATTCGCAGAGGCCAAAAGAGTGAGTCAGATCCCCCAGGGTGGGGCTATAGATGGCTATGCGCTAGCACACGGATGATGGGAACTACACACACACCTTTTAAATTGTGTTTTTCATTCTCAAGAGATTGAACCCAGGACTGTGTGCACCCCTGAGCTACCTCCATGGACCCCTTTACTTGTTCACGCATCAAGCTTACATCCTGCTAGGGCCGATTTTGAGTGCCCTCAAGATTTATTGTGTTAGATGAGAAAAATGTTAGCCCAGATGGTATAAATGGGGAGGGCTGAGGCTAGGCTAGCCTGTGGGAAGGAGGAGTCAGGGAACCACTGAGGGATGGCAGAGGGTAGGGCAGAGCTGGCCTTGATGGACACACAGGGAGTTAACTTTCTCTTGCAAGGCAGTAGGGGATGATGTGTATTTCTGGGACTCTGTCAGTGACATTTCCAGAGCCAGCTGGAGAAATAGTCTGGGGCTGGACAGATGAGGGATGGCACTAGAGGCTTGGTACACGGAGTGGAGAGGAAGGCCTGGGTTCTAGGATTAAGAATCCAGTCAGGGAAATCTGGGATAGCAAGATGGCACTTGGATGGTAAAGGCACTTGCCACCAAGCCTGATAGCTTGAATTTGAGCCCCAGGCCCCATGTGGTGAAAGGAGAGAACCAACTCTTACAGATTCTCTTCTGACCACACACATGATGTGGGTTCCTCCCATGCAACAAATAAAGTTTAAATTGTTTTGAAGATGGACTTTTTATTTGTTTTATGTGTTGAGTATTTAGTCTGCATGTGTGTGTACCACTGTGTGTAGCACTGGAGGAGGCCAAGAGGTTGTTGGAGCTTCTGGAGCTGGAGTTGCAGACAGCTGTGAGCCACCATGTGGGTGCTGGGAACCAAACCAGGTCCTCAGGAAGAGCAGTCAGTGCTCTTAACCACTGAGCCATCTCTCCGGACCCCAAAGATGGAAATCTTGATGAGCTCCGAGGCTGCTTCTCTAGGTGACCTCACTTCTTTTGCCAGCAGTGCTGAGGTGTCACCAGCAGTGCTGAGGTGCACTCAGTCCCCACCCCCACACCACATACCCCCACCCACTCACAACCCAAACCGCCACTCCCCCACACCCCCACAACCTGTAACTATCACAGTGCCTCTAGAGACACATGGACTAGATGAGGGTACAGAATGTCTGGACTCAGAAGACCCACACCACAACGGAAGCCACAGAGGTTCCTATTAGGAAATGAGAGTGGAGGAAGGGAGGTCAGGCAGCAGCCAGGGGACCCTCTCCTTCAGGGACAGCGTAGCCAAGTAGCACCCAGGGAGAACATGGTCTGGGAAGCAGAGATCAAACCTCAGCAGAGAGGCCATCCTAGGGGTATTGAATACCCACCGTGTGCAGCTAGGAGAGGAGCCATGGCTGGCCTCATGCAGGCTTGTGTGGGCAGCATGATACCTGTAGCAAACATGGCCTTCCCCATGCTCTAGCACTGAACCTGAAGGATCCCATCCTCACCTTCACAGAACTCAATGTTTAAACGGTGTTTTACTCAGAGAGCCAGCAATCTGGGAAGCAGGGCAAAGCCCGCCTTCAAAATTTAGTCTTTTCCCTTTGGTCTTGTGTTTTTCATTGTCAAAGCCTCCCCCACCTGTGTGCCTGTGTGCATGCATGCATATGTGGGGGTGGGGGAGTGTCACACCACGAGTCTTGCACCCCTCTCAATGCTGGTTGGATAATATCTAGATTATCGCTAACTCAGAGCAAATAGCAGTGCATATTCACTAAGGGGCTTCCACAGTGTACATTCCACAGTGAGCTCTTAGGACCAGCCTGTCTTCTGTCTCTTGACAAGTGCTGAGGTTACAGACATGTCCAGCCATGTCCAGCTTTCTACATGGGTGTTAGGTATCGGATCTCCCGCCTCACGCTTCCAGACAACGTACCTACATAGTGTCTCCTTTCGTCTTTCTTTTCCCTGCTTCTTTGTTTGGAATTCTCAGATAAATCCTGCCTGTCCATTGACTGAAACTACTTTATTCATCAGTCAATGAAAGCAACACATATTTGCAGCATGCAGAAGGACCTCCCCATCACTACAGTTAAAAACATTTACTATCATACCCCACAGCATCCCACATAGAGGTCAGAAAAGAAGTCCAGCCATCAGAGGCATTACAAAGACCATCACAGGGACAGGTGTACCTTATCTTCATAGGATGCTGGCAAGACCTTGCCCTCTACATTCTCACTCCTGGGATCAGGAAGGCTTTTGGGGGCAGGTACATTGTGAGTCTTCCCAGACTGTGATGCTGTGCTCTTAAGAAGTACAGAGTAAGTCACCTCATCTGAGAACACAACCGGAAGCACCCACGCCAAGAGTCTGCCTCAGATGGTCCACAGCAGGAATTCCAGAGGTCACGTTATTTCTCCCTACCAGATTTAGATAATTCTCAGCACATCCCGTGAAAATCAAGGAATTCGTTACTCTCAAGGCAGACAATCCCCCCGTGTTTCCAGTCACATGTCCTCAGCTTGTGATGTCAGAGTCAGCCACAAGCTTTTTAAACTTGAAATACAGTTTCATTTCCTAGGCTCAGGGGAGCACAAACTCCCACGAGCACAGTAAAAGTGTCTGCTCAGCAGACATTTAAAACCCTCTTTCCAGAGGATGAAGAGGTGGTTCTGTAGTTAGAAGCACTTGCTGCTCTTGCAGAATACCCGGGTTTAGTTCCCAGTAGCAACATGACATCTCACAAGCCCCTGTGACTCCAGTTCTAGCGGCTCTGACGCCCTCCTTTGACTTCTGAGGGCTCCTTCTGCACCTAGTGCATGTGCATACACTCTGGCATGTACACATAACAAAATACAAATAAGCAAACATTAGAATATTCAGGTGTGGTGCCACACACCTTTAATCCCAGCACTGAGGAGTGAGATGCAGGCTGATATCTGTGAATTTGAGGTCAGCCTGGTCTGCATAGTGACTGCCAGGTCAGTCAGGGTTACATATTGAGATCCTGTCTCAAAAATAAAAGCAAACAAACAAACACTCTTTGCCAAGTACGTACATGCATTTTCATCCTGGTTAAATGGTATTCCATGGACTGGAGAAACGTCTCAACAGTTCAGAGCACCTGCTGCTCTTACAGAGGAACTGAGTTCAGTTTACAGTATCCACATGACAACTCGCAACTTTTTATT